AGGAACTTATGGGCATGATTTTAATTCGCTTCTACATTGACCAACCAAATGTGAACTATACTTTGTTTTAATTTATTTCGTTAAATCGCCAGGATATATTCGTACTTCAGCGTATCGGCCCCTTCTGAAGTTAGCCAGTAGTTGTCTTGCAATGTCAATTATTAGTCGTTGTAGGGTGGAGATGAAGGGTGGAGTGACAGCAAACGTTAGCTCGCATTCCCCTCACTATACGTTCGTGTGTTTTATCCCTTCAAGTAGCCGATTGACAGAGGCTACTGTTGTTTGTGAGCTTTCTGTCAGGGCAAGGGCGACTTGCACGTAATTTAACACAAATCCACTTGTATCACCGGAGGCGTTCCTATTCTCGTTTTCGTCTATTAATGATCATACAGGTTGCCCTTACCGGGAGATTCCGATTTATCTAGTTTTTGACTCAAATTGAATGTCGTCTCAAAAAAGTCCTTTTTGTCTGAGATTTTAGACTCTTATCGGAGCAACAAATTAACGTCGCAGATAGTGCTGTGAGCGGATCCCTGCGTACATCGCTGTCCAGAGACTGGGTCGCAAGACCGATCAGGCAAGTCATCAATCACCTGGTTTGCCAGCGTGGCCCAAGTCTGTGGTTTGGGTGAAAAAAGCCCATACTTTCTGCAACTCCTACTCGCGCCATTGCTTTTGAAGTCAAACAGACCGTCTTCCCGTAGAATTCCGACACGGTTAGCTACCACTCTTGTAGTCGTGAAAAGGATCGGCTAGCTGTGCAACATGTGTATTTACAGGATTTTTGGGAAAGGAATTTCTGTTAACAACTGCACACTAGTCGTTTGCATGTAGTTGATATTTTATCAGCAGAGAGCATCTATGTATTTATGTATGCATGCATACAAGGAGAGGGTAGTAAGTTCACTGTTCATTTTCGTTGCATGCATTCAAGTACTCAACTAAGGTGGCTGGGACAAGATAGGGGATATCATGCTGTTGGCCACGGATGATTGAAGTGGTCTGCTCTTACATGCACATCAAATTTCGGCCTATGCCTATAGGCCTTACGCATACTGATCTATACCGAGTACAAAACTTAATTTTTAAGGAAATCAAAAAGCTGGTCTGCTCTTAGTCAGCTAATTTGGTCGATGAAATTTGAGGTTTGACTGAATCCATGGATGGAGGTTCTGCCACCTACGCTTGTGAGTCACTTTGTTGATGCCATTAGATAGTCAAGCACCTACCTCGTGTTGGTGCACTGTCAATGGCCTTGGATTCTGACTTGTATTTGACACTGCATTCCACCCTCTTTCTCCGTTCTAAAATTGGTGAGGGCATCAGAAACACAGTTAATTACCACGTCCTATCAACAGCATCCTAAAGGCTGCAAGTTGGCGGGGCAACTCAGTACTTCCCACGGATAAAGCTCAGGTCGAACTGGCTTAAATGGCAATCTCAACTGTTTTAAGCGAAATTTATACGTAATTTTACTCTGGTCCCGATCCGGGACCAGGTCGTCTGTAGGACAAACGTGGATAGACTATTTACGAAGGTGAGAGGTCCGGCGAGATAATGTGAGGAACTGTGATTGCTCAGTGGAACACTTTTTTTTAATTTTTGCCGACGCTTCCCAGAGCCTGTGGGTTTACCATTAAACCCATTGACACACTCGAAACGCGAATTGACCGTCTCCGAAGAAACCCAAAGAAACCATATCGCTTAGGCTTATTGTCTCCCTTCTGGCACTCCTACAAAGGGTTTGCCAAAGTGAATGTTTGATTATCCTACGTTCTTGGCCGAAGGCACAACAGCCACATTAGGTCTTGTTCATCAGTCCTCTGGATCCATGGTGTCCTTTGCTATCGCCTAACTGTTCATCATTATTCCACAAACACTAGCGATGTACGGTATGAGGCGATTCCTGGCTAAACACAACGAGCTGAGGGACAAACAATGGAAAATCGAACATCTGTTTAAGCTTCTGCAACATTGCCTAAAAAACCAGTTCATATTTGGTGGACAAATGTACGAACTCCTTAAAGCTCTCCCATGTACTCCGCCTTGTCAGGCCTTATTCCTGAAATGATTCTTCAACGGATAGAGTACGTGGTGTTCAACAAGTATCAACGAAATTCCTGGTTCGTTATGTCGTTATAGTATCTGACATGGAGCAACTTAAAAAATACCTGACTTGGACGAAACCTAATATCCAAATCACGATGGAACTGGAATAAGACAAACATCTTCCCTTCTTTTTCACGTTCCTATGTAACTGAGTAGCTGCTCTTTTTGTCCTCTAACCGGGTTGCGTGGTAGATGTACTGGACCAACACAGAGCCAAATAAAGGTACGGCAGCCCTTATTTGGGTTGCGCTCCCATAAAATATACCGTCCTTGGTGGCACGCGACGGTACGGACTCAGGCACCGGTAAAACACGGCCTTTACTGTACTTTCACTTAGTTGAACCTGAATCAGACTTGATCACGACCACTGCCTGTTTGCGATTCCGCCTGTGCTCGTCTTAAACTTGTCCTGACACTGGGTCCGGGTGAGTGAGGCACGAGATAGTGCTGCACATACAGTACAAGTCTACTATCCCTTAAGAATGCTTTACCTGTAAGTCCTCATCGCTGCGCAAGTATGTTGTGAAGCATACGGTGGACATCGTCGAACTGAACGGACATACTGTCGTGGGTAACTCTAAATTCCAGTATTCAGAGTAGCCACTAGTACAAAGAAAGCAGTACACTGCAACAGTAATCAACACCTTGCGCACGAACGTAGCTGCATCTGGACTTTATTCCAAAGGTTTGGAAAGCATTGCTGCACTTCAGCCCCACAAAAGAACTCAACACCGATACCCTCCTGACTACTTTTGGATACCTAAATACTATTTTATCAAGCAAAGCAAGCATCGAGTGAACCAACGACCGTCAAGAGGGCCACAATCTGAAATCCGGAAGGGCATTCTCTACATAAAAGTTGTCTCCAGGGTGGTCTGTTGACTGTTACACGCTGCCGGATTAGGCATAGCCTATCGACCGTAAAAAAAAAATTCTTCACCGTATGTAGCAGCTTACGGGGTGAGTGTCATTTACCAAGGATTTGGCAGTCTTATAAGATTTATGCTCAACGATTGAAACTAAAAATTTATCTGGAAACTTAAACGAAAACAGCACGCCTTCCCACGTCACCGGAGAGTGATAATTGGGAGGCTAGAGAAAAACTCACAGCCAGCGACTCATATTAGGAACCCTCCACAGTTTTGAATTACAAGAAACGACCGTCTTAGTATAACCTGGAGTCTGTTTTTGAGAATCTAGCTACTTCAACAGACAAATAGATCCTCCTGCAGCTTAAAAGATTCTGCGGCGTTGAATATCTAAATAAAAAACAGGCATATCGCAATAAATGAAACCGTGCAGATACGGCTTTAAAACAAATTCACTTGAACGGCGGGCGAAGTTACAAGCATCTTCCAACGAGGTGATGGGGCGTAACGCAAGCGGCTATCATACCGCACAAACATCTAGCAAAAGGCTGAGACAACGAAGAATGGCACAGAGCTCGGGCTGAGCTAATCAGTTAAAATATGTGAGTGACTTCTGGTATGAAAAGCATTCACAATGGCGAGCCAGCTAAGCCATCTGAAACGCCAGCCAAAGAATGAACTTGCACCGGGGAGCAAATCCCCTGTTTCAGGTTGCCACCCAGAAACTCTCGTCTTCGTGAACTGGAGAAAAAAATACGTTTTGCTGACATGACAGTATGATGTATGCAAAAAAGTGACAAGCAGATCGGAACGCAACGTCAGGATAGTTTAGAAAGACCACACAAATAACACCAATGTGCTCACATACATCCATGGTTGGAAAAATGTGACGGGGCAATGCCTCGTAACTGTCGGCTGCCGAAAGTATGCTGGGACAGTTCATGGTTGTACTGATCAACTTAATTTATAAACTGACGCACCATTTTAATTTTAGGTGTATGTTTATGCAGGAAAAAGGTGAACGCTGTGATCATCAGAACAATGACTTTATTCCTAAAGGCTCGTACAGGGATTCAACTTCAGATGATAAAGTGACAACAAAGCAAACAACAATTATAGGATGGTGGAGGGAGGCAGTAAACCATAAGCAGCAACAGTGTGTAGATGACTATGCAATGCTCTTTAAGCCGGGGCCAAATCGATATATCGATTGAGATTGTTCCGACCGGAGGCCCAGTTTAAAATAAATTAATGACTAGTATTTCTTCTGTTGTGAGCGATTATCTTTCGTCGTGACCGAGAAAATAAACGCGTGACGGCAGCCGCCAGTGATATGTGCACGTTCCTAAAGTGTGGTTTGCCATAAGTACAAAAGCCTTTATCCGTTGAAGATTAAGCTCCACATAGTATGGAACATATTAACAACATTGTGCTAAATTTCACACATTGGTTTGTCTATTTCAACAGCTGCCAAGAGTTCGTTTTTAGCTTTCCGCTTTGCATTTACTGCCAGCCAAATTAAGTGTTATTGTTCGAACGATCTATTTTCTTCCGAGATTTTTGTGCTCCCGGGCTAGACACTATTGTCTCTCCCCCAAAAGTATGTTAAGGCATCGCATGAGCTAGCTATGAGTTGTTTTAGGCTGTTGACCGAAAGACCCTTTTGCCAACAAATCTCTTCCTTGTGTTTTCAACTTCTTGACCGGTCTAAACTTTGTGGGGCGGAAACTCATATTGTAGCGACCATATTAGCGACCATATTAGCTCGAGTCACCTCAAGAACCGCATGGCTTACATGTGTATTGCGGTATTTAATATCTAACTTTATCAACATGCAGCTAAACCTTCCTGTAGCTTATGAAGTCATGCAGTATTGAACACCTGGAGACAAGATACGCCTACTGAAGTTACGAAAACCGAGAAGACACGGCCACCGGAACGCACTCTCCCCAAAGGACGGGCAGATTTGCATGCACCCTTAAGCGAGGTGACGAGGATAACGCAAGAGGCTGTCGAAGCGCAAAACTATCTAGTATAATGCGGAAACAGCGAAGGAAAGCGCAGAAGTCGAACAGTTTAATGACGACTTGTTTGGCTTGCCATTTA